CCATAAATCTTGAATAAACTTACAGAAAACTGCAACACAGCTGAATTCCTTTAAATCAAGGCAACACCCCCCCCCAAAAAAACAAAAAAAACAACAACAACAATTTACAGTTGTTTCTAAATCTTAATCATTGGTACATGTATCAATATAATTAATGTATATGATTTTAATTTTGATTTTACTTTGAAATTAATTTCTATGTTTTTGTTTTTTTACGGTAAATGTATGTTAATTTTATCACTTTTTAGTCCTTTGATGTAAAGCACTTTGAACTGCCTTGCAGCTGAAATGTGCTATACAAATAAAATTGACTTGACAGCAGTTTTCAGATTTTGCCAAAGATTCTCCACTGAGTTTATGTCTAGACTTTGACTTTGCCATTCTAACACAGAAATATGTTTTTATTTATACCATTCCATTGTAGATCTGGCTTTATGTTTAGGGTAATTGTCCTGCTGGAAGGTGAACCTCTGCCCCAGCCTCAAGTCTTTTGCAGACTCCAGGTTCAGGAGTGTTCAGGTTTTCTTCCAAGATTTCCCTCTATTTGGCTCAATCCATCTTACAATCAACTCTAACAATCTTCCCTGTCCCTGAAGAAAAGAAGCACCCTCAGAGCATGATGCTGCCACCACCATTTTTGTCAGTGGGGAAGGTGTATTCAGAGTTATGTGCAGTGTTTGTTCTCCACTACAAATAGTGCTCTGCATTTTTCCCAGAAAGTTAAATTTTGGTCTTGTCTTATCGTTTTTGCTGTATCCCGATATGGCTTCTGGCAAACTGCAAATGGGACTTCTTATAGTTTTCTTTATACAATGGCTTTTCTATTGCCACTCTTCCATAAAACCACATTTTTGCAGTGCATGACTAATAGTTATACTGTGAACAGATTCCCCCACCTGAGGTGTGGATATCTCTGCATTTCATCCAGAGCCACCATGAACCTCTTAGCTGTATCTCTGATCAGTGCTCTTCTTGTTCAGCCTGTAAGTTTAGGTGGATGGCCTTTTCTTGGTAGGTTCACAGCTGTGTGATTTGCTCTTTCCATTTCCAGATGATTTGTGGAACAGTACTCTGTGAGATGGCCTAAGCCTGCTTTAAGCTTCTCCACAACTTTATCCCTGACCTGTCTGGTGTGTTCCGTGGACTTCATGATGCTGTTTGTTCCCCAATATTCTCTTAGCCAACTTTTGAGGCAGTCATAGAGGAGTTGATTTTCTTTTTTTTACCATTGCCAGTTATCAGGCAACTTCTGAAGGCAATTGGCTGCATTCAGGGAAAGGGGGCTGAACACTTTTGCACACCGCACTTTTTAGCTTTTATTTGTAAAAACTGTTTTGAATGATGTATAGTTTTGCTTCTACTTCACAACTATATACCACTTTGTGTTTGTCTTTCCCATAAAATTCTGTGAAAATATATTTCCAGTTGTGACAAAATGTGACAATGTGACAATCAACAGGTATGCATTGATAGTTATCATATACCCTGCTGGGATAATAAGACAGAATAATTCAGTCCACTGATATAAGAATACAAAAGCTGCTGATGATACATGGGAAATTGTACCGCTCAAGGTTGTAGCACATTGCATGAAAAGAATACATGGATCGCCACAACCAAATACCCAGAATAGTGTGAAGAAACATCTGAAGGGAATATAACCTTGAACTCACCTCGTTAAAATGGGAAATGCCACACCAGGTGGTAGAAAACGAACAAGCTAAGATCCTGTGGGCCTCCCATATACAGGAAGACAAAATGGGAAAAGCAAACCAACTGAACATGGTGATCATTGAGCAGGAGAGCAAAGCAGTTATTATTATTATTATTATTATTATTATTATTAAAGGTGAAAGCAGCAGTAGTGCTTGTGGTCACTGAAACCCTCGGGGTAATGACCCCTAAACTGGAAGACTGGCTCAAACAAATACCAGGAGATACATCAGACCTCTTGATACAGAGAAGCACACTTTGGGAACTGCCAATATATTGTGAAGAACACTCATGCTCCAAGGCCTGTGGTAGTTGACCCAAGCTTTTTTTTTATTTAATTTTCCTTTTAGGATCAATAAAGTATTTTTGAATTTAAAAGAAGGGATAACCAGTCATGGAGTAATACAGAATTACAAATATAAAAATAAAAATCATTTATTTAAAAAATATTTAAAGTGCCAAAAATATCATGATTACTTATGTTACTGTTAGGACAAAACTTTAAAGATTGATATTTTATCATTATCTCAATGTCTCTACTCTGCATACATGCAGATTGTCTAGGTAGTCTAAATTGTCTATTGGCAGGTACATCAACCAACCTTTTTCTGCAGGTGTTGTGTCTGCCATTAGACAACAGTTTTTATTTTTATGATATAAAGTGGTTTGAACTGTCCTGCAGCTGAAATGTGCTATACTAATAAACATGATTAATTGGTTGAACAGAAATGATTAAAAGAAGTGACAACATTGCTGGTGGAAGATACCATCTGACTGTTGCCTCTTAAAGAAAAACCTATGGTAAACTATTTAACTTTGAAATGTTGAATGAAAGTTATAAAATATTATTCAAATAAATGTTTCTTGTTCCTGAAAAAAATCAGACCTTGTGTGCTTCAGAAACAAAATGGCATTCTCATTTTGTTGTACCCCTCCTGCTCTATTAAGGTGGTACAGTCCGTCAAGACCAGGTGCAAGTCATTAGTGTTAATTGAACTCATTTCATCTGTTTTGCTGGAGAAAGAGGTAAGACT